AAAAATCATTTGTGGATTGTTATTCCCCACAGTTCCTTGTGCAAGACGACTAGACACCAGTGCCAGCGAAGCAGACTTTTGGAGAATTCAATAAAAAAAAATAATAATGATGAAGTTGTCGAAACTCTTTTGCCTAACAGCCTAACAAAATTAAAGGTGTCTTATGCATTTTCGTACATACATCCGTATGTAAATGCAATCATACACATGCCTACAATTCGAGAAACTTCGGCAAATATGTTGCTCTCGATATCGGCAATCGAAGCGACGAAGCACTTAAGCGAAACATCTGGAAATATTACCATTACCGAAATGAAAAGAAACGAAATTGAAGAGTGGCTCAATTGCAACAATATTAAATTCAACGTTAATGCAACATTGAGACAACTGCGTAAATTGGCAATAGAAAATGGTGCTACTTGTCATATATCTTGCGACAATTCTGAAGAAAGTGATCATAGCAGCATTGGAGACAATAGCGTAACATTTGCCGAATGCACAACGGCAGATCATAAACGCAAAATGGAGGAAAAGGCAACGCCGCCATCATCGAACGAGGCTGGTCGTGCTAATCGTTTGAAGGAAATAGAAACAGAAGAAATGTTGATCAATACAGAAATTAAACTCTTACAAAAGAAACGTCTATTCAATGAGCTACGAGTGAACAATGGGAAAAACTGCGCGGAGTTCAGCGACATAACTCACGCGATTGTTCCGTACCCTGGAGCTGACGCTTACGATGCAAACAAGTGGATTGCAGACTTTGAACGAATATGTGATTCCGTAAATGGGGATGAGATTTTTAAATTTAAGTGTGTGCGACGACTTATGAAGCCTGACAGTGAAGCCGACTTGTTCTTACGCCTCGATCGCTCAACAACTTACGCCGCTTTTAAGGGCCAATTTCTTCGCACTTTTGGTCAATCATACTCCGTGGTTGAGATCGTAAATTTGCTCAAGACAACATTATTTGACCCAAAGAAAATGACCGTGTTGAGATACATCTTTAAAATGCAGGAAATCGCTGCTCGGGCTTCAATGGACGAAGTGCAAACCATCCAATTGATAATAGAAGGCTTCCGAGATGACTCATCTGATATTGCCGTCTTGGATCCAGCCACCACAATTGACCACCTTAAGCAACTATCGCGCAGTTATGGGCAAATGCGAAACAAGCGGTCGAATACCTCAAGCAAAACGTCCACATCAATCAAAGTGATTACGTCCTCAGTTAGGAGTGCAAACACGTTGCGATGTTACAACTGCTCTGGTTTTGGACACGTATCCAGTTCCTGTACCGAACCGAAGAGGGAAAGGGGCTCATGTTTTCGTTGTGGATCTACAAGCCACATTATAAAGCAGTGCAACTTGAAGGCGAATGAAACAACGAATCCATTGCTTTGGCGGATGAGTTCCGTCGCATCGAGTTAAAGGGTGACGACCAAAATCCAAAAGAAATCCCAATAGTGAATAAGGTAAGAATTACTTTCGATATTGATAGTTCGCCAAACAGTGACACCCATCCTTATCTTTTTGATACGGGCAGCGCTATTAGTTTGATTCGATATGCCGCATTACCACAAAAACTAGTAGGAAGAAGGCTAACAAACATACCCTTCAGGGGCTTAGGAAACTTCAGCTTATGTGCTTACGGAAAAATATTAACTAAGATTACCTTTTATAATAAAACAAAGGAAATACTTCTTTTTGTTGTCCCAGATTCATTTATTCCGTATCCTGTATTGTTGGGTAGAAACTTTTTAAATGAATTCAATCTTAAACTTTGTTTACTCAATGAAATTGAAATGCCAAATATTGAAGTTATGGCGAATAAAAATATTTTGAAAATTTCCGATAAAAGCTGGCATTGTGTTTATAGTCCATTGAAGACATTGTATTGTGATTTCATTTGTTGTCCGTCCGAGTCAAGCACTTTCAAAGGAGCTCGTTTATAAACAAACTATTTCGCATAAAAAAAAATTAATTTCAAAATTGTTAGAGTTAAGCTCTCATATAAAATTGGAAACAAATGTAAAATCATACTTTTATTTAAATATAAAAATAAACGCACAAAAGCATAAAACTTGGGCAATTAAAAACAAGAAAATTGCTAAAACGATTTTATAAACACCTAGCAATTACCCGGCGTGCTTCGCTGCGCCTTAAATGTATTTTTGTGTTGTAACTCTGCCCCTAAGCTCTTATGGCCTCATTTACAAAATATTTTTAAAGAACTTTATGAAGTTAGATTAAAAAAAAATCGATCTATGAAGCATTGTTTATTTTTTTTTTTGAGTTAATATATTTTCGAAGGTAATTAGAAAATATGTAAAGAACCGACTTTCTCTTGGAAATTTAATTTATAATCTTATAACTGGAGTCTACTATCGCACCCTTTCCTCAAACGTGTATTGATTCAATATTCAAATAACGTATATTTATATAATTTGAAAAAATCTCCCTACTATACAAATATGTACAGCAATATTAACTAATATTTTCAAATGTTGTGAGAGGGAGTAACAAAACAAAATTACTTTTAAGGCGCAGCGAAGCACGCCGGGTATTCGCTAGTGTCACATGAAATTAACTGAGCAAAGTACAATGAATAGCTGTTAAACAATGTTTCACGCACCGGCAGCATCTACTTTAAATGAAACATACTTATTTTAGTGACGGATACTCACACACCATATACTTTTCTATTGAAACTTTTCCTGAATTTTCTTAGCTATAAACCTCCAACGAATGCAAAACCGTGGAAATCGGTTCGTGCGTTCTGGAGTTATAGCGTCAGGAAGGAAAACCCTACTTATTTTTATATTAATTTTTATATTAAAGAAGATTAAAGAACTGTCCGCATTACACAATTTTATTTTTCACAAAAACGGTATTCATGAATTTTTTAATTTTTTTTTTATTTGCTTCCGCATATTTTTGACATAACAGCTTTCATTTTATGCCCATATTAAACAAATACAGCCTAAGTTTACCCGGGTCCACGTTTTGGTCTGTATCTCGAGACCCTAGTCACCC